GACTCAGAAGTGCAGTAATCCGTCCTAAACCAAGGCATTCTTTTTGATAACATTTAGAGACTGTACAGAAATTATTGAGGTTGGGAGGGGTGCTAAATCTTTTATTTCATCTTATTAAAAAGCAACAGCCTACCCAGTGTTATTAATATTTTCTATGGACCCTCCCCTGGGCTTGGAACTACAATACCCTTTACTCAATATCTTAAAATGATATATTCATAAAAAACATTACAAAATGGTTAAAATGAAAAAAGCACCTTGTCGGTGTGGTTTGATCAGATTTGATTGACAGTGTCATGGCATACACAAACTCTACAACACTTATCAAATTTTGATGCTAAGGATTTGGATATTGGAGCAACATATGTGACCATTACAGAATAATGGTCAAGGAACAGGAATGGTAAAGGAACAGCACAGATAGAAATGGAGTGGTTTGTAACGAATGTAACTAAGTACTCAGCTAAGTACGGTGTGTACAATGTGAGAGACTTTTACATCTTAGGCAACTTTATACTTCTGCTTCACTATATTTGCAGGACTTGTAGTAGAGTATTCTTACACGCTTGTATTGTTACTTTTAGTACAAATAGATTTATCCCTGCACTGTTTCAACTTTGGCAGATCATTTTGTTCATATAGGACCCTGTTTCTCAAGAAGAAGATATGCCTTTGAAAGTGAGATCTTGATATATTCTAGTTAAAACTACAAGAGTTGCCTTTATTCTAACTAAATCTCTCTTCTAGGTGTATTTGTGTTTGCTCCCACCTCTACAAATGTGACCGTGATGTTCCCCACTGGAGCCGGGGTGGAGGTGCGACTGAGAGAGGGAACCATGACAAGCACCGTGCTCCTGCCAGAGGAGTTCAGAGACTCCACTCTCGGACTGCTGGGAAACATGAACGGTGACGCCAAAGACGACCTCGTTCTTAGCAACGGTCAAATTGTGCTGAACCACAGCAATCCAGAGGAGCTGTTCAGCTTCGGCGCAAGCTGTAAGAAAATCTTGGGACACAGACTACAGTTGTGAATATGAATTACATTAAGATTATGTTCTTTCATAAAGACCAGTGGATTGTGTAAAAAATTTGATATCAACCCTAATGAGAAATAACATATTGACCATTTTATGGTGTGTGAAACATTAGTTAATTATTAAATTAGGTAAATAAAAAAACTTAAGGCTAACATTAGGCAACTGTGTAATTAAGATCAGGACTTCTGTCAGGTTTAAAAAGGTAAACTGCCATCATAAATGTATTCTTTACAGTAGATATGAAATGATCTCTGACCAAAGTCAAGATCCTTTTTGCCACATCATTTCTTTTTGTATATATCAGGCATTTCAGGAAATGACTCTCATTTTATGAAATATAATCAGATGATCTTGCTAAGTTTCCCTTTAAATTCAAGCACTTTCAATGGTAAGTGTGTATCTTTCTTTTTCTGTTACAGGGGCTGTCAAGAACAACTCTGCTTTGTTCACATATGATTCAGAATACCTTTTGGACACATATTACTATGGTACCCGACATGACTTTAGTTTTCTTCCAGTGTTTTCTGTCCCTGAGAGTCCAGATGATCCGTTAGCCAACCAGGCATCTGAGATATGCTCTGGAGAGGGCTCTCAGTTTTGTAGGTATGAGAAGAAAACTTTGAGTCTACTTTTACTGATTCTAATAATGAATTAAAGAAATGTAATAGTGTTTTTATAAAACAAACACATCAGTTTCGAATCCAATTTTGGCCATCTCAGTGGGGCACTCAGTTTTACACATGTGGCTCTACAGGGAGCTTTCTAAAATCTGATAAATTAACCCTGAAGATGTCACAGTGATGTCATCAGGGTTATCTCGGCTCGACAGTAATTAACAGTTATAAACTGGAGGTATGGAGTTTGAAAGACATGAGCATTAACCAGACATGGAGCGCTCACAAAAGACTATTGAGTTGCATCATGGGAAATGTAGGATGCAGTGTTTTTAGAGCTCAACAGGGACTAAAAGTAATGATATGTCAGCTTCTGGTGATTCAATTTTCAACTTTATGTAAATGCAAGTAATTTTCATTGCAGTGAAATAATTTCATTAACTGATCAGTACCACTGTCCTGCAGGTATGACATTCTGGTAGGTCGTAGTCCAAAAATGGGAAATGCTACCAGATTGTCTTTCCAGAGTCACATTTCTCTTGTTCAGGATCTAAAGCCAGGTGAGACAATGAAAAGTCTAAGAACACTTCCAGTGATTGCTATGTACAACATTTACTTGGTTTCACATTTTTAGTTATTGTTACACTGTGCAGTGGTCTCCTGTGGCTGGCTTTCACCACCAAATAATGGAAAGAAGGAGGGGACCACATATTTACAGGGAGCTAAGGTGCTGTTTTCCTGTGATGAAGGCTACACTCTCAAAGGCTCAGCAGAGCGTGTGTGCCAGCAGAATGGCCAGTGGTCTGGAGAGGACACAAACTGCGTGGTTCCCAGTATGAATAAATGATTACAGGCTTTCCTGTAACATCGGGCTTTCCCAATGATTTTGATCTTCACAAATCAGCAATGGCAAATGTGTGAGTGTCTGTATTTAAGAATGCATGTGTGTGTGTCTTTTTGTGCATTATTTGATCTATCGAATCAGCTCTTTGTTGAAATGCAAAAAAATCAAATCACTGAATAATTACTTACAAGATTAATGATTCTAATATAAATACACACATCAAATTAGAAATATAAATAATTTAGTAATGCAACAACTCCAACTTTCCACCTTCTCGCTTTCTATAGCCTATTTTATGTTTGCTAAAAACAAATATCTGTAGACTATTTATGTTATATGTATGTATGTTATGTCGTGTGTGGATGCACGTTGTAGGCTACGGATTGTGTTTACACCTAGCCTGCCTAAGATCTGAACACAATGCGAGCCAGACTACCTCCAGGTGTGCTTGGTCAGATCCCATCATTGACACATATTCTGCTGAAGTGCACACACAGCTTGTGTGAAGATGCAATTATTTGTAAGGAGGATTTGCATTTTGATTTTGCCTAAGAACTTAGCCTTGTTTTGGTGATAGCCTAACTCTCACTCCCTCTTATCCCTCCTATCATTGATGTTTGCTGATTGCATCGGCTGGACTAAATTGGCTTCATATTTTTGTTTCAGAGCTAGAATTGTCAGAGGAATACTTTTACGTCCTATAAGAGAGGAAACCGTAAGTTGGGCTGGCAGTTAGCTTTTTTCCGATGAGGGAAAGGGGAAAGGCCATGGTCAGACTTTGCTTTTTACTTTCTTCAGTTCTAGCTACATTTGGTAATTTATGGTGGAGGGAGAGTCATGCATTTTTCCCTAGAAACTCAGGGAAGCTCAAAAAAAATTATTTGTAGTCACACCCCAGATTCCTGCCTTTGATAAATAACAAACTGTCTCTGACAAATAACTGCAACTTTCCCACTTTGATTCTGGTTGAGGACCTCTGTTGCAGCTACTCTCTCTTCCTATCTAAATCTATGCAGTAAACCACTGGAGGCAAAACAGAATCCAACAAACTACAGTTAATACTTATTGCTTCCTGTAAGGAGCATCTGGTTTAAAAATTGGTCTGGTCATTTTTCAGATAATCTTGCAGGAATTGTGGCCGGTTCAGTCATCGGAGCTGTCGCACTGATTGTAATTATAACAACAATTGTTCTCCACTCCAGAAAACAGAAAAGGTGCGGTACTTTAATTGATGCATTACTTACCTTTAAAGTAATATTTCTAAAATGCAATAATTCATTTTCTTGATATGGAAAGAGGCTATGCATTGCAGTTTCCTACTAAGGAATGAAAATAAAGTATTTCTCTTCACTGTTTTATTTATTTCAGAAAAGCTGCACAGCCAGATGGAGTTGTGACAATTGAGACATTCTAACCACAACTCTTGGTTGCAGTCATACTGTATGTGTTCATGTCATCATCTGCTGGAAAATGAAACAACTTGAAAATGAATACTACATGCATAAAGACATGTTTAGATAACAAAACACAGAATAACACAAAAGAGATTTCTCTTTTTGGTTATAAACCTCCAGATTTAATATATGCTGAGGTTGAGCAAAGGTCCGTACATAGTTAAAGAGTAACTACACAGCATATCTTTTACACGCTACATATTCCATGGCAGACGTGTATTGTTGCACTGATTTCTACAGGTTGAAATTTCAACCCGTGTTGCACTTTTGACCACACCCACCGACAAAAACTACAGCTTTAGGTTTACTGTAAAGTGAAAACAGTTAATGAAGGTTAGTGGATTCATCTACTTCACATTCAGTCATCAAGTTGGATGATCTAAAAACTTCAGGCCTAAATCAAGAACTCACTGTAAGTTTGTTCAATAAGTGAACAATAATAAATCAAACTCCCATCACAGGTGAAACATTAACGATGCAACATGCTTTTGTCTAAACACTCCATTATTATTAAAGACAAAGAAAATCTTTGTCATTTGGTCAGCTCATTAGATCACCTGTGTATTTACAGAAACAGGAAAAACTATGCAATTAAATTAACTCTGCACTGTGTTTACTGGTTGTGTATGATAATCAAATGCTGACAGATATTGTTATACTGATTCAAATTTGTTGGACAATAAAGTTTTTCAAATGCAGTATATTCTGTAGATTAATGGGGTGAATCTTCTGTATGATTCCTATTAGCTCTGTTATGTAACACATTTAAGACTTGATGTTGACTAAGATTTTCTTCTTACATACAATAACACATTATTGTTCTTCTGATCAGCATCAGTACTGCGCTACAATGTGTGTAAATGTTATCAGTTAACTATAACACCAACAATACATAAAATAAAATATTACTGTATTTCACTGCGGCTCGTTTTATATTTCCATTCAAGGCAATACATGCACAGATTACTTAAAATGTACCTTCACAGGAACCTATCAGCAAAAGTTAACTTAGCTGCTAAATTGACATCCTAAACAAAACAACAGACTAACATGTCAAAGCGAGGTTCATGGGAGCCATTCATGCATTTATGATAAAACCACAGTGTGCATAGCACTGCATCGCAATTTCTCCACTGGAACGGCACCATAGAGGGAACCTCCAGCACTGATAGCCTTCTCCAGTGATCGCATTGTTTAACTCATGAAGTAATATTAATGCTTCTTTAATTTTTAAAGTATTGTGCTCAGAAATTACACAAACATTGTCTGCTGATAATACAACTGGTCACATTGATTGCAGTATTGCCTACAACGTACAGCAAACTCTTTGGTTTGAAAATTAGGTGGGCCTAGAATAAATAAATTAGATAATTCAATATGGCGTTGCTAACACTAGTCCATCTTCCCGGCAATGGGATCGCTTCAAACGTTATGTATTACTTCTGCTGTTTAGTTACTGAACTTTTAAATTGTATCTCTGTATTTATCTGGTTAATACCTTTGACTAATGCTTTGGATGAGCGTAGATGGAAAGGCCATGTTGCCTCATTAATAAATAGCATTTCTCTCTGACGGGGAATGGCTTGATTTATTTCTCAAATGCTCGGGTCATTCTTTGTACAACATAACACCCGTGAAGACCTAGCTCTAGATGCAAAATTCCTCACTACCACTCGACTGCGTCAGGCCATCACTTTGTCTTGGATGTAAACATGTCTTGTATGCATGTTGTAATTTGCCCTCCATACTTATCAACGTTTGTTTGGTCTGGAGTTTTTTTTCCCTTCAATCTTGTGTTTAGAAACAGGAATTAAATCTGTTGTTTACTGTGTGACTGTGGATGTTCATGCTGTTCCCTCACATAATAACACAAAGCTGTGATTTCTATGGACAAAGGGCAGCAGTATGTGACAAGACTGCAGAAGCCACTGCTGAATAAACTGTCTGCTTGCTGCTTCCAGAGTCATTCGCCAACAACTTGCCACAGACACTCCAGAGATATAAATACAAATAATTAGCATTATCCTCTCCCGGTCCCTGGGCAACAGAGGGGTAACAACCCAGCTCATGACATACAAGTCATTCTCACCCCTTAGATCACACTTAATGCTGGACAAGTGTTAAAATGAATCAGCCGGGTATATAAAGTGTGTGAGTGGAGCTTTACAGATGCCAAAGCAGCATTTTCCTCAGTTCACTTTCAGCTGCTGTCCAGGTCATCAATCTAGACTTGTTTGTCAGGGTGGAGCTACAGGCTTTGCAGTTTCAACATCCTTCTCCTTCACTCTGAGCTTATTTTCTAGGATATGGGTGAACCAAATAAAATATTATCCCGTCCCATTTTCCGCCGAGATGTGGGCTGGGATCCTTTCCCAAACTGGACACAGCCGAGTCGCATCTTTGCGCAGGATTTTGGCCTCCCTCCATTCCTAGAGCCCAGCGATCTGGACTGGATAGACTGGGCGAAGAAGAGACTGGCTTCTTTCTCCTGGCCTGGGTACACTCAAACTCCCCATCTGCCTCCATTCAGTGGTCAGCACCCTGCGGCGTTGAACCAAAAGGGTCTGAGACAACTGACAAGTGGAGTGTCAGAGATCCGAACAGGGCAGGACAGCTGGAAGATTAACCTGGACGTCAATCACTTCTCGCCTGAGGAAATTACTATCACAACCAAGGAGGGTTATCTGCAAATATCAGGTATACTGCACATGCATCTCTGATTTTCCATAAGCTATTTGAGGAATATGAAACAAATAATGTGACTAAACCTAAGTAGAAGCTTCATTAAAAGTTGTACTACATACACAGACATTTGAGCTAATCAGTGTGTTCCTTATTATTAACATCATTTTTTATATTACTGTTCATTTCAAGGAAATCATGAAGAAAGGCAGGATGAGCATGGATTGGTTTCCCGGTGCTTCACCCGGAAATACAAGTAAGTTAGAGAACTTTAAAAAGTTCAGCTACACAAGATAACTGGGATTTGCTTGATTTGATGTGTTAGTTGCTGATAAACTTCCTCCTCATTTCTTTAAGGCTACCACAGGGGGTGGACTTGCAGCACATCAGTTCCTCTCTGTCTGGAGATGGAGTTCTGTCTGTAGAGGCCCCCGCCCCGCCTGGGACCTCCATCAGCAACCCATCAAATGAAATTGTCATACCCGTTCAGACCAGACAGATGCAGGATGGTGAAAAGGGAAACCAGTAAGCAGAATTTGAAACTACAATCAGTTGTAGCCCAAGTTGTGTAGCAACCTGTGCACTGGCATAAGTAAGTTTGTTACAGCTTATTAAATGTCATCTGTAACAACAAGCTTGTTTTCCTGCCATAAGATACTGTCAAATACACAAAATACACAAAATGCACTGTCACCAGTACAATTACTTCTGGTTGTTCAATGTTAAAGGTGGACTCAATATAACACAGACTTTGAAAATAAGGAATTATTTTTCCTTGTCAGCACTAAGCATGACCTTGCATTTCTAACAACATACCATCACCTTTCCATGCACTTCCAATGTCTTCATTATATATAAAAAAGACATGTTAATAGCTGTAGTTGTGACCTTGCATGACCTAAGGGACTGTGGAAATTATGGCTGACAATACTGGCCAAGAATGGACAGTGCACTACTGGTTTACTTGTCCTGGATAGTAATTGACTATTTGTATCTAAGCAGCTTATTTACTGTCCATCAAATAGTGCTTCTGTGTAACAGGGCAACATAATAGAAGACGTATAATTAATTTTGTTTTGCTTTTGAGGAAGAGAAACATTGTAGAAGTTGTAATGTTTGTAATGAAAGTTGTGTGTAAGTATAAGATGTAATTAATGACCAGTCTAATGAAACTGTCCTGACATCCTATAATGTTCCACAAATGTAACAGCTTCTGATAAATTAAAAACATCATTTTCTCTTTTAGTGTCTTTCATTACTGATGCATTTAATAGCAGATAACAGGATTAACAAAAAGCAGTTTACAGTTTTGGACAACTACTTACACACAAAATCATTGCATGTCACACGATTTTTGAAACCTCTCACTCAAAGAGCGAAACACTATACACCAAATCTCCCAAACCATAAGCTACAGTATTTATAGCCTTTCACTGCATTTTTCTCAAAACACTACACACAGTTCTTTACCTAAGACACAAAATTCCTTTTTCAAACGTAACCACTTATGCTACACTTCACCAGGTCTCACACCCACTCCTCACATGCGCAAAGAGTAACTGCTTACTGTTACAACAGTAATGTATTGCCAAATAAATATTTTCTGTTACAACATTGCATTGGTGTTTACAGTGTACTTTTCAAACCCTCTCAGCAGATTACTTTCACTCTTGAACATTGTATGGAAATGTACACATAAGCCCATGAAAGACAAAAGTGTGTACATGGTATATCCAAAAAACATACTATTATAAATTCCCCATTAGATGAAAATGCTTCATTTTGAGATGCATTTATGGCATGCTGAATGCAGTGTGCAGTTTTAGGAATTGTGAAAAAATGTGTAAGCAGTTAAAAAAAACAAGGAATTTGTATTGATTATTCATCCATTGCCATTTTCTCATGGTTTGCCGAAAATATCAAATAGTCCACAAGAGGGCATGCATACCACAAATTCAATCACTGGACCTCTCGGACAAAAAAAGTGCTCAGTGTACAACAAATGACCCCAACACAACCCAAAACATGTTTCAACTAAAGCAGACCAGATATACGGTCTGTCCATTTTAATGAGTGTATACATTATATGGTCCTCTAAGCTAAATAGTGATATATGCAAAGGTTAAACGAAAGTGATTTCAAAGGTGTAATTTAGTATTTTTCCACAGTCTTTGCACAGTGTTTGTACGTGGTTGCACATGTGCACTTTTTTGCAGTCTTGTGTCTTTGTATTCTTAGTTGGTGCTGTGTAGTCTCATGTGTGATCCTGGAGGCACGTTTCCTGTATATGGTTGAAATGACAAAAAAAGTCTACAGTCAAATATCATAAAGCAAAGCAGGCATCCACGGGGTAATAAGAGTAACCCCCAGTTCTTGCTCAGCGTAGTGGGTAGTAAATGTAAAATGTACGTGCACGTGCCTTCTGCCTGTGCAAAATTACTCTAATTAAGATTTTATTGAGGTGTTGCTATAGGTGATTTGTAGGTGGTAGATTCAATATGTTTTTCTGTTTTTGGATAAGTTGCCAGTATGCTGTCTCTAGATTGTGGTAGGTGGCTGCTATTTCTAGGCACATGAGGTGGTTTCCCTTGTAATTCCAGGTGGTAGCAGGGAGTAGCAAGTGGTTGAAGAAATGTTGTGTGCCGGGTTCAGGTGTGATGAGGAGGTTTCAGAGACTGATGAAGACTTAACATAGCATGGTTTATTGAGCCCGGCTGACTCCAAGTTAGAGCTGTCTTACCTTTTCCTGTTACATCAATCAAGCACCCTATGAAATTTCCTTAACAGTTGCTAAGGTGTACTTTATGTTTGTAGTAATCATAGGAGAAGTATTAAAGCTAGCAATAGCAGTAGAAGTAGCAGTAATGAGAAAGCATTTAAAAAATTGAGACATATTCAGCACCATGGAAGAGACAGAAAGTGAGAGATATAAAAAGTGAAGGACAGGAATAATAACAGAAGTGGAAATATTCTCAAGTCTCTTTGCTTCATTTCATATCAAATAGGCCTAGCCAATGTAGGCTATATAAAAACACAAGAAATGTTCACAGTCCACAGAGGAAAAACATTTTTCAGTGTTATGTGGATATGGGTCTTATTTTGCCATTTTTCTCTAAAGAAAAGGAGGAGTTTTGAAAAAAGATGATTCAAAAATTAGAAAAGATACCATGAAGCTGATCAATTATTAAATACATTGTAACATTTTTAAAAGGAGTGGATTTGGTGAAAATATAATAACAACAGTAACAATCCACAATCCATACAATAAATAATAATAAAAATCAATCATCAATGATATTTATGATTTCTCAAACAAATTCTGATAGAGCCTGATGTTGAATAACTTCAGGCTCGTTGAGATGTGCCTGTAGTATTGCGGTGTCTCTTTAAAGGAAGGGGGAGTGTAGAAGAGGGACAGAGGAAAGAGATGAATAGAAGGCACCAGAACCACCTACCATGACCAAGTGCGCTGTAAATGTAGGACAGAAATTCGAGTGGAATACAAACGGATCATCAAGCGACATATTCGAGGGAAAACCATGTTTGGATGTGCCTTACCTGATTCAAATATTTTTAAATATGGTGCCACATGCGATTATTGGAACACAGGAAAAGTATTTTTCCTCCCAAACATTTTTTGCATTTTGAAACGGAAAAGGAGAGTGGCAGTGAAATATATCCCTGTGCTATCTTTCTCCGATATTCAATGGTAGGCATTGCATAATTCACCCTTATCCACCGGAGCCTTTTGGTTTCTCCTCTTTGGGAAGAGGGGGACGCCAGAAAAAACGACTACGTCCAGTAGCTGCCTTCTCGGTGGTGCCTGCAATTGTTTGGCAATGCCCTTTTCTCTCTTAGGAAGAACTTGCAAACAGTAGCGGGAGAACAAGCAGGGGAAGGATGCATTTAAAGCTGGATGTGTGCTGCATTCAGGGAGATTCGGCAATAATAGCAGCTCTAGCAGAAACAGCGAGTGCGGAGGGCCTGGGAAGCACCCAACCCCACTATCTCCTCCTTTTCCTCCCCCCCTGCAGGACCATGCTTGCGTGAGGGATGAGGCTGTGCACAGGGACACCAGGCCAGAGCTGCGGCCTACTTCTCACAAGAGCCGGTCTCTCGACTGCAAGATCTGTGAACACATTGCCACCATCAAATCAGCATCTTTGGTACGCAGCTCCCTCTCTCCTCCGTTTGCAAAAAAATACATACGCGTGTGTGCGCGCGTGTTAGTGTATGTGTGCGTGCATGCGTGCTGGCGGCGGGGGTGAGGAGGGGAGGGAAGGGGTGTCTGTGTTCTCAGCTGTACATCTGTAGTCATGGCAACCAGATCCTGTTAATGGATGTCATTTTTTCCATCCTCAGCTTCCTCCTGCCTCTGCTGTGTGTGCATTGCGTTTATATATATTCCATATAAATCTCTGCCTGATGTCTGTTACCAATGAGGTTTATTTTTTGTCAGATTGGAAATGGTGCGTTTCCACATCTTCTCCCATGCAATTCTTAAATATTCATTTGGTTTTGAGCCTTAAAGTGGCATCATATAAATGTTAGGTATGCATCAGAAATGGTGCTGAAGTGACTGATTCATTCATGTTCACCTCTTTTGTATGAAACTGATGCTGACAGACACTGATACTCTCAACCCTAACGGATTGTCAGACTTCTGCATTATTTATCAACTCTTGTTAAGTTATTGAGTTACTGTGGCTGTGCAGTAATGAGATTACTTTTCAGTGTGCTTCATACTGTATGTGGTCTGTTTTAGGCCATGGCCTCTGTCTTACCAGTTGTCCCCTTTTCCTCCCTGTCTGCACCATGTCAGTTGTTTCTCTCTGCCTGCTCTGTTTCTTTTACTTCCTGCTTCCTGTGTTCCACTGTCTAGGTCATCAGGTAGATCCAGGAGCATGAGCAGGACTTTGAGCTGCGGGAGCAGATGTCTGGGTATAAGCGCATGCGGCGGCAGCACCAGAAGCAGCTGATCGCCCTGGAGAACAGGCTAAAGGCCGAGATGGATGAGCATAGGCTCCGGCTGCAGAAGGAATTAGAGACACATGCGAACAACACTTACATTGAGCTGGAAAGACTGGCCAAACGGCACGTTGCTCAAACAGACAAAGAGGTACAGCCTCAACAGCAGGTGTTACTTATGAATGATGTGGAAACTACAGAGTGATCAAAGTGACTTGAAGCCAAACTTCTGTCTGTACAGGCATTTATGACAGTTAAGACATCAATGAAGGGTGATAATTTGAATATTAATATTAATGTGTCTTCACAGATGAAGTCAGTTGCAGCGGAAGAGAGGAGGATCCAGCAACAGATTGTTGCTCAGCAAAAGAAAGAGCTGACGACTTTCTTAGAGAATCAGAAAAAGGAGTACAGGCTTTGCAAAGAGAAGATCAAAGAAGTAAATATCACGGACAAGATGCAGTGAAAAGTTTTTGATCACATTTATTATATATATTCAGTACTTTCAATGTGAAACACATATTCTATGAGATTGTTGTCAGATAATTACACTTGTTTCGTTCTGTTCTGTTATTTTTGTGTGTTATAGGAGATGGACGAGGACCCTTGTACACCCAAGGAGGAGAAGCAGGAGCGTCTGTCCAGGCACAAAGAAACAATGCAGCGCTCTCAGGCTGAGGAGGAAGCTCATCTGCTGGCCCAACAGAGGCTGGTCTACGACCGGAGCTGCCGGGCTCTCAAACGCAGGAGTCTTGTCAGGAAGCACGAGTTTGAACAGGAACAACTGAGAGAGGTAATGCGATTTCCTGACATTACATCATGTGTAATCAGACAATGCTGATAATCCCAAAATTAAATATCATGTGGCTAGTGGTGTTTTCAGATGTTTGGACATAAGAGCATTTTGTGAAATGATTATTGTGATTCAGGGATGACCAAATCAAGATCAGATTGCATAGAAAAATTAGTTCCTTTATATGGAGGACTTTTGATTGATTGAAATGTCAGCGATAAGGCTACAACTAACAATTTTTCATTATGAATCAGGTGATTTTTTTTTTTCTGATGAAGCAATTGCCATTCTGACCAGCTTTCCAAAAAAACTAGGGTACTGACATTGTATTTTTATGAAATGAAACAGCACATCCTCACATTGGGAACCTGGAACCAACAAAAGATTTGCTATTATAGATTTGCAATACAACATTTCCACAGTGGGAATTAACAAGGCAGTAAACATGGTGGCCTTCAGTACAACCCACATTAAGCTGAATT